TAGTTGGACTTGCTGGTGATCATTTTTGAGGTCCACCATAAATCACCTCATTAGCATAACAAAGACATCACTCAGGAAATTCCAAGGCCTTTCCAGTGGTCCATGCCAGAAATCCTGGACCAAGAGGAGACAAATCCTTTGTCATAGCACGGTTGGGAAGATTGCCTAGAAGTTCAGTAGATAGACATTCCAAGTGAGTCACTATTTTAACATGACTGAGGAGCCACTGCCAGTCCTGGCTCCAGGAATCATCTCTCCTCACTCTAGCTACTGACCTCCCTGTGAGCAAAGTGTTGTCATGTGAACAAAACAAGCCCCTATTTCTCTGAGGCCCTCTTAATTGAATCTTCTGTCATATGCATTTGACCCCATTCCTAACAGATATGAGATTTCTATAGGTCTAGAATTCTAAATACTTATTGAAGAGTAATAATGTATAAAGCATTGTGTTAGTGCACAAATATTGTTAAATATAGTCCTGCCTTCCAGGAATGCACAGCACTGGGAGGAGAAGAGCTCAGGATCCATGGGCATGTTGTATTCTTTGTGAAGTCAGAATGGTTTGAATCCAGACTCTGTAACTTTGAGCAAGCTCCTAAGCTTGGCAATCTCATTCACAAAATGGGGGAAATGATGTATTCCTTATTGTGAACTGATGTGTGGAGGGTGAGAGTTAATCTTTTTTAAATTTTATTTTTTAAATTAAATTTATTGGGGTGACATTGGTTAATAAGATTATATAGTGTTCAAATGTACATTTCTATGATGTGTGATCTATATATTTCATTGTATGCCCACCAACCAAAGTCATATCATTTTCTGACATCATATTTTTGGTCCTCTTTACCTTCCCTCTGATAATCATATTGTTGTCTGTGTCTATGAATTTCAGTTTTATATCCCACATATGAATGAAATCATATGGTTCTTAGCTTTTTCTGACTAACTTATTTAGCTTAGCATAATATTCACAAGGTCCATCCATGTTATTGCAAATGGCAGTATTTCATTTTTTCTTATGTCTGAATAGTATCCATTGTCTTTGAGAAGATTTTATGAATCTGACCCCAAAGTTAAGAGAAGTAAAGGGAAAAACAAATTAATGGGATTATATCATACTAAAAAGCTTCTGCACAACCAAAGAAACGGATTAAAAAAAGGGGGGAACCAAACAAATGGGAGACAATATTTACAAACAACAGCTCCAACAAGGGGTTAATATCCAAAATACTGTATAAAGAACTCATACAACTTAACACCAAACAAACAACACAAATTAAAAATGAGCAGAGGACCTGACACTTCTCCCAAGACATTCAAATGGCCAACAGATAAATGAAAAGATGCTCAACTTCATTAGCTATTAGGGAAATGTAAATCAAAACTATGATATGCCACCTCACACCTGTTAGAATGGCTGTGGTCAACAAGACGGATAATAGCAAGTGTTGGAGAAGTTGTGAAGAAAAAGGAACTTTCATTCACCGCTGGTAGGAATGTAAATTGGTACAGCCACTATGGAAAACAGTATGATGATTCCTAAAAAATTAAGAATAGAGTTACCGTATGACCCAGCAATTTCTCTTCTGGGCATTCACCTGAAAAATTTGAAAACACTTATTCACAAGGATAAAAATTTGAAAACACTTATTCACACTTATGCACCCCTGTGTTCATTGTAGCATTATTCATATTTCTAAGACATAGAAACAACCAAAATGTCCTTCAATAGATGATTGGATAAAAAAGATGTGGTACATATATCCAATGTATTTTCTTCAATCTTACTTTTTAGTCACATTATAAGGAACTGCAGTATACAAAAAATCTCACCATCTGGTTCCATTTTTCTGACTTGTCTTGATTGAACATCTATCTTATGTTTAACTGAACTTCATTCATCAAGTACAAGCACATATTTTGAGCTAGATGCTGGAGACATCCAGAGATAAAGACAAAGGTCTCCTTGCAAACATCCAAGAGATAGTGAGATAATTACAATGTGGTTAGTGTAATCGCTGTAGAGTTTTCCCAGCTGAGTTGGAAGACATGTGAAGAAAGTGGGAGATGAAGGAAGGTCAGGTGAGCAGATGCTGTGAGACATAGGCCTAATCCTGGGAGAGTGGGGAAGGTTTTAACCCACAGGGTTTCCCAGTGTGAAAAGAGAAGCTATGGCAAAGACATGGGCATAGAATGCCTCCCAAGTTTAAATATCTTAAGGATTTAAAAATGAATATGTCTGCATGTGATCAGATCTATGTTTTAGAATATCTACTTGGAGGACTTTGGAAACTGAATCTGGTTTAAGAAATTCGGGATTAAAAACTCAGAAGGCTCACTGCTATTGCTATCATCACAGGAAAATGTCTAAAGACAATGGGAGTGGAAAATGAAAAGAAAAGGGTTAAGAGGTACAGACTCTGCCTTAAATTCCAGTATTTTCTACACGCTGAAAACAAAATAAAACAAAAACAACAAACAAGCAAAGCCTCCCACATTTTCCTCTATCTCATATTTTTTATATGAATCCAGGAGTAATTAGTTAGCATTAATTAATATGGACTGTATCTTGTAAATTTTCTAACACTAATTATTGTCATGAAAACTTCAAAGCATTTCTTTTCCTTATGTTCTTCGGAGCACTTTGCATCATTAACTGCTTCTATCTTTTCAAGACTATTTCTCCCATATGTACTGCAACCCTTTCCTCTCCCAACATATTCCTTCTCTCTCTCTCTCTCGTATGCCCATGTTATTTTCTTTTTTTCTTTATTGATTAAGGTATTACATATGTGTCCTTATTGCCCCATTGTCCCCCCATCACTTCTCTCCCACTCCCCCCACACTCATGCCCTCACCCCTCTGTTGTCTGTGTCCATTGGTTAGGCTAATATGTATGCATACAAGTCCTTTGGTTGATCTCTCCCCCTTACCTCTCACCCTCCTCTACCTTTCCTCTGAGGTTTAATATCTGATTGATGCTTCTCTGTCTATGGATTATATGTTGGTGAGATCATATGAGTGAGATCATATAATATTTATCTTTCTCTGCCTGGCTTATTTCACTTAGCATAATGCTCTCCAGTTCCATTCATGCTATTGCAAAAGTTAAGAATTCCTTCTTTTTTATCACAATGTAGTATTCCATTGTGTAGATGTACCAGTTTTTTAATCTACTCATCTGCTGATGGGCACTTAGGCTGTTTCCATTCTCCTGTCTCTTTTGTTAGTTCTTTCCTGACAAAGAAACTTCCTGTTCTTCTCCTGTGGTCTATGCATGTGCTAGAGATGTTGAGCTTTGTTTGTTTCCTCTTATTTTTGTCCACTGCTGTTCTCTTTCAATCTGATACCTCAACCTACTCTTCACATTACAAATTTAATTACATAATAGAAAAGAAATCTCTCTCCTGGTCTTCATTTCTCAATATTTTTTCAAGACTCATTTTCTTACTCTTTTAAAAGAAAAATATTTGTATTTATTTCAAAAAGAAAGGGAAAGACAGAGAGAGTTAGAAATATCAATAATGAGAGGGAATCATTGATCACATGCCCTGACTGGGAATTGAACCCATGATCTCTTGGATCCTAAGTTGAAACTCAACCACTGAGCCACACTGGGCTGGGCAAGTCCCATTTTCACAGCCACTTTGAGGACCTGCTTCAGTGGCTTACTGACAACATCCATCTCTCTTACACAGCATCCCCAAGCAGCCTTCCCCACTGAGCCAATCCCCTTCCTTCTGTTTCCTGTAAGCTGCAAAAAAAGTACACAAAGTCACCTCCACAGCTGCTTAGATTTCTTTGTCCATGAAAATAAATGCCAGCAGGTATTAGACTTATGGAAATAAAACTGAAGCCTGCTGACGTTAACATGGAACAAAGGGAAGACAAAGAAAGAAAAAAGTGACTGGATCATCAGTATAAATAGCCTTGGCTGAGCGCATCTCAGCACACAGCTCCCACACAAGTTCCTGGAGGACAGGGAGCCTCTGTCCCATGCTTAAGTCCGAGCCCTGAAGCAAGCATGATTCAGTGGGTAAGCATTCCATCGGACTCACAATTCACCAGGCTGACAGCGACCTGGAAGTCCCGCGCAAGGAAACGAAGGATGCACATTCTTGCAGGGAGCTCTCAAGACGACAAACAATTGATGCTGATCTGAAACAGAAGTGCCAACGGGATTCTTAAAGAACCAGCCGTGAAATGATAGATTCAAGTTTGTCAAAAACACAACGAAAGTGAAAAACTCGGCTCGTCCTCTCCCCACTCCTCCGAAGGCTCAGAATTCAGACAAAAAAGTCTATTGGGACAACACTTTTGCTTTGTTTGCCTTTTTCATTATTTTGGAGGGAGGGGGGCAGTCAGGAGTGGAGAACCTGGTCTCGGGAGGGACGGGAGTGGGGGTGGTGGTGGGGGGGGAGGGACGAAGCCCCCACAGCCCCTTCCCCCACGTACTTTCATGAAAGTGGTCTTTAGCTCACGTCAGGGTCAGATTTTTATTTTTGTTTTCTTTTCCAATGACAGTTGACATTCACTCTCACGTTATCCCGTTGTATTCATTCCAGGCGTACAGCAGCAGAGTGGTCGACAATCACCTACTTTACAATGTGTCTCCTCCCCCTTGTCCCCCCATGGCCAGCCCCCCACCTGGCACCATACACCGCTATGTCCATATTGGCGATGGAGGGCCATCTTATTCAGAAATAAATACCCTTTCCTGCTTTCCCCGTCCGCTCGCTCGCGGCCAGGAGCGCAGCAGCCCGGGGTGGAGAGGGAAGGCGGTGACCTGGGTTCAGCGAAGAGTCAGGAAGGCAAAGAGCAAGATCGCGCGCGCGGCTGGGCTCCCGGGAGCGCTCGGGGCAAGGTGACACAGCCCGGGGCCCGGCGGGGCCGACGGCTTCCTCCCCGCCCACTCGCAGGCAGGAGGGCGCCGGCCGGGGTGCAGCGCGCCGGGACCATAAAAGCTACGGAGGCGCGGGACGCCCAGCAGCGGCCGCACCATGCACGTGAACGGCAAAGTGGCGCTGGTGACCGGCGCGGCGCAGGGCATCGGCAGGGCCGTGGCGGAGGCTCTGCTGCACAAGGGAGCCAAGGTAAGAGCTCACACCGGTCTGGCTGCGGGAATTTTCTCTGCTTTCCCCCCTGAAACTCACCTCCCACCTCCCACCATCCTGCCTGCCAAGCAAGCGAGGGGGGGTCCCGGGGAGATAGGGACGTTGCGCCCCCAAGTGCCCACCGTGCCAACTTCCCAAAGCTGCCTGCGAGGAGGAGGCCGGTGCCCTGTGGAGTAGACCTCCAGAGTGGCTGGAGGGAAAATCCGACCTTGAACCTCTGAATGTCAGGTGCCCACGGGGGAGCGTCCTAGTGTTTATTGACTGTTCGCCTGCGCCTCTCATTCTCCGAGCTGCACGGGGACCTGGGCTCCTCTTCTTTCCCCCCCGCAGGTAGCGCTGGTGGATTGGAGCTATGAGGCAGGCATCGAGTGCAAAGCGGCTCTGGATGAGCAGTTTGAGCCCCAGAAAACTCTGTTCATCCATTGCGATGTGTCCGACCAGGAAAAATTGAGAGGTAAGCTAGAGGAGCTCTGTTCACCGACGCGGGACGCTCCTTGAACAAGCGATAACCTGAAGGCAGCCCAGCCTGTGCCAGAGAGTCCGCGTGGGGCAGGCAGGCAGCTGGAGAGCAGCTCCCTCTGAGCTCCAGGGGATGGCTTGGAGTGGTATGCTTCCCACGGACATCCCACCCAGCCACACACACACACACACACACACACACACACACACACACACACACACACACTCACACACACGAGGGAGGGAGTCCAACCCTGAGAAATCCTTTTATTTTAGTCATTTGGCAGTGCATAATGTAATCAAAACCCCTTTGTGTATTCAGAGACAGTGCTGGCGAACGGTAATTATTACATGATTGAAACTGCAGCTGGAACTTGGAAAGTTAAACGTGGGCTAAGGGGCTTCTCCCAGAAAGTTGGAAGACACAGATGACAAGTGTGGCCAGTGTTTCTCTTTTAAAAAGTACTAGAGTGCAAGGTCGAGGGTCATCATCACAGACATGCTAGATGCTGTTAACCACGTGTTTCGTTTGGTTTTTCCCCTATGAGATAGCAGTTTAAAAACAATAATAGCTGCGCCGCAGTGTTAGAATGGCAGAAGGAAAGTTTCTATCAGACTTTTCCTTCAATGCTTTCCTGTTTCCGTCTACTACTCACTTAAAATAGAACAATCGACTTGTGAAATAACGGGGACGATATTGGCATATAAACGGATTTGGTTATAAAGAGGTCCAATAGATATGCATGGAAAAATGTTTTTCTGGAGAACAAAAAAATAGAAAATAGATATTTGTCTTTCACCAAGTTTTATTGAAAGAATGAGTAAAAAAAAAAAAAAAAAAAAAAAAAAAACTTTCATAAAAGTCACTCTAGGCCATTTGAAAAGTTAAGGCAGCACTAAATCCTGAAACGAGAAGGGTCAGTGCTGTGTTTTCCTGAAGTGCAGATACGTGCTGCTGTCCAGACAACTTGTGGATTTCTCATGACCACATGCCTTCTCCTGTCACTCATTATGTGTCTAAGTTTCCTCCTCCACAAACCCAGGACCCTTCAGTCTGCAGGCCGACACTCTATCCACTGAGACAAACTGGCTAGGGAGTTTGGCTCAGTGGATAGAGTGTCGGCCTGCAGACTGAAGGGTCCCGGGTTTGATTCTGGTTCGATCATGGTTAAGGGCACATGCCTGGTTGGCTCAATTCCCAGTGAGGAGGCATGCAGGATTCTCTCTCATCATTGATGTTTCTATCTCTCTCTCCTTCTCCCTTCCTCTCTGAAGTCAATAAAAAATATATTTTTTAAAAAGTTACTCTGCTACTCCTGTTTTTAAAGGAACACTGAAGTATGTGTTTGTTTTTTTTAATATAGGGCTATTCTGTAAGAGATTAGAAATAGATAGCATGTTAGGAAGGAGTGTTCCCCTACAGTTAAGGGAAATTGTTTTAAAGGAAGATATGTAATTAAAATCTGAAAATGCTAAGAAAGATTTACAATATGTATTAAAGCATGAGTAGAAGCAAGCTATAAACACAGTGCTGGTGGAACATATTTTGCCAGAGGATAAAGGTTTGTTGATTGCACGTGACATTTTGGATCAAGAATAGAGTCATGTCAAATCTCAACATCCAGGCAGGATGGACTAATCCATGGTATAGATCATCTGGAAGCTATTTCTGTCTGAATTTGTGTAGTTTCCCATGTGACATTTAACCTTAATTGTTTTTGCTTTTCTGTATTTAACATAAGTACCTTGGCTATAAACACATTCCTTAAGGATAAGTGATTGTGGAGGAGGAAACTTAGACACATAATGAGTGACAGGAGAAGGCATGTGGTCATGAGAAATCCACACGTTGTCTGGACAGCAGCACGTATCTGCACTTCAGGAAGACACAGCATTGACCCTTCCCGTCTCAGGATTTAGTGCTGCCTTAACTTTTCAAATGGTCTAGACATGTGGCCCAGGGAGACTTCATTGAAATCATGCAAATACAGAGGTGAAGATGTTCTTGGAGAAGAACAAGACAGAACTCATTGTATATATGAAGAAATGCTACCCATGGTGGTGGTGGTGGGGAGAGTAGGTATATTATAAAGAGTACCACAGCATATAAACATCACCAAGGGCTAGACTGTAAGTTGCTTGGGCCCAGCATTTAGTGGTATATCAGAAAGAAGATGGTGTATTATACATTGTTAAGGGCAGAATATAAGAAATTCAGTGGAGACTAAAATGAAAAAAGAAAATTAAAGAAGTAATGAGATGTACATATTTTTGTTTATTTTATGATAACTCTATAGAGAGTTGATTTATTTTGAAAAAATTCAATACTCTATTAAAGAGTGTCAATACATCTTGGGATTTTAATTTACTAACTCTCTTCATACAAAACACTGGACACTTTATACATTAGCACAATTTCACACAATGATGACTAATAGATATACATGTTTAACAACCTAATTTCCTATAGGGTGGATGTGGATTTCTGAAGGGAACATTCTTAGGATGGAATGCAAAAATAAATAAGCAAAAAGAAAAGTTCTTAAGTGTTTTCTACTAGAGGATCTTTCCTAGAATCAATTTGAGATCTTAAGAATTATTGTAAAAATTCCATGAAAAAGGAAACAGTTTTTATTTTGTTGTTTTCCATTCCAGTATGGTAAAAGGTACTGGAAAGGGCACACATTAAAAAATCGTGCCACTATTTTTGACAATTAAGTTGCATAAGGAATTATCTTTTGGGGGAACTCACGATGCCTGGTGGTTGTCAACAATTCTATGATTTTACTTGGATGTACTTTTTTTCAAGGAACTCATAAGTTGGCCTCAAGACCTGAGAACATCTCCTGTCATTTGGAAGAGCAACCACAATTTTTTTCATAATCTCAAGTAATAGAACTAGTGCCAATGATACAAGGCCCCAGGAAACAGTTTAAATCACTAGAACTACTTAAAAGTCAACTCTGAGGAATGTGTTTCTCACACAAGAGTAGGAAAACCTAGTATGAACTGGCTAAAGAGGGTTTGCAAGAACTGGATATCTTATTGGACCATGGAATGAGTGACCTTCAGGCTTCAGAATCTATACAACTATACCTTGCTTAAACACAGTGGAGATTGTGTGTGTGTGTGTGTGTGTGTGTGTGTGTGTGTGTGTGTTTTAAAAAGTATATTTTATTGATTTCAGAAAGGAAGGAAGAGGGAGAGAAAGATAGAGATAGAAACATCAATGTTAAGAGAGAATAATTAATTGGCTGCCTCCTGCACGCCCTACACAGGGTATTGAGTCCACAACCTGGGCATGTGCCCTGACTGGGAATTGAACCTGGGACCTCCTGATTCATAGATTGATGCTCAATCACTGAACTACACTAGCTGGGCAAAATTAAGGTTCTTGATTCAGTAGATCTGTGGTGGTCATAGATTCTGCCTTTCTAATAAGTTCCCAGGTGATGCTGACTAATGCTGCTGGCTCACAGCCACGCTCTGAGGAGCAAGGCATTGAGTCACTAAGAGTGTAATGTTCGCTATCAGAGTGGATACATAAAAATGCATGCCATGGCATAGGATGTGACTTACGTGTATATGTGGAAAGTAAGAACATACCTGTAATGTCTCTTTTTTGATATTAGATGCTTTCAGAAAAACTGTAGACTACTTTGGAAAACTGGATATTTTGGTCAATAATGCTGGAGTGAATAATGAGAAAAACTGGGAAAAAATGCTGCAAATTAACTTGGTAAGCCATCTTAGCCATGTTAATTGCCTAAAAGTGTTTAATAATGTGATTTTTAAAGAAAAATTGTTCTTATATTCATAGAAATAATACAGTAACTACAGAAAGCTAGAATAAAAGCATTTTCTTTTATAAATAGGAAGATATTTGAGATTTTTAATTATGAAAATATATGTCTTAAAATATAAAGGAAAATATGAAAGGGAACATAATTTATTGCATAACTCAGGAGTTGGCTGGCTATGGCTCACAGGACACACTAGCCTGCCATTTGTTTTTGCATGGCCTGCAAGCTAAAAATGGCTTTTATATTTTTAAGTGGTTGAAAAAAGTGAAAAGAAATGTAAAAGAAAAAAAGACAGCTGTAGTTATTCATTTACACACTAGAGGCCTGGTGCACAAGATTTGTGCACTGGGAGGCATAGGAGGGTCCCTCAACCCGACCTGCACCCTCTCACAGTCCAGGACCCCTTGGGGAATGTCTGACTACCAGCTTAGGGGTTCAGACCTAAGCCAGCAGTCAGACATCCCTCTCGCAAAGAATTTCCACTCAAACAAAATAGAAATATTGCAAGAAAATAAAATTATAAGCTAGAAACATGTATAAGTAAAAACACAAATACAAAATTAAATTAGTTACAACTAAGCAAACTCAATGGTGCATTAAATATTGATATGCCATGATAAAGTATTATTTAGCCAAGAGATATAAGCATGTTTCACAATTAGAAAATATTTTGTTTTATTTTACTTTCACTAAAGGCCCTAGTGTATTCACAATAGGCACCTACTGTGTCTTACCTCTGAGAAAGCAAATGTCAGAAAAGTGTGCAACAATATAAGAAACAGAAATAGTAAAGAGATTGTCAAAGGATTCGAATTGTCTGTCTTCATCTAGCTGAGAAAGCATGTTTGGTTGAACATAGCCTAGGTGAATAAACATCTGCTCCAAGCTTGGAAGTTTCCTAAACTACCTGAAAATAGGAAATTCTGGAAGACCAAGGGCATTTTATTTGACTCCTTTAGTTACAATTCACTCTCCTGGATTGTTTCTCATTGAAATTTAGCTGGCCTGTATTTTTTCTTTGGACTCTTCTGACATAAGCCACTCCTTGGCTTAACACCAGAGGCTGGTAGCATTTGTTTAATCTTACATAGAATAGAACATAACCTTTGTTACCCATATATTACTAAAAACATGTTACTGCCCCACCTACTTAAAACACCCATTGCAAGAGATTAGAGTCTGACCAATTATTGTCCTTCCAACTTGATTATCTCTGTTGGTATAATGCAAATATTTATGTGTGTTTTATATAATAATATTTTAGACACTGTTCTGAATGTAATTTGCCACACACAACTCTGTGTGTTCTTCTGTACATTTTTCTATATCCTTGTAAGAAAGTAACCACTTAGTTAAAGAACCTTACTACATCTTTCCCTCTTCTGAAATTTCACACAACATATTTATACCAATTTTAATTTTTTATTATTTTATTTTAACTTTTAAAAATCTTTATTGTTGAAAGTATTATATATGTCCCCTTTTTCCTCCATCAACCACCTCCTACCCCCTCCCCCAGGCCCTCACTGCCCCATTATCTGTTTCTATGGGTTATGCATATATGCATACAAGGTCTTTGGTTGATTGCCTTCAACCCATCTTCCTTCCGAGATTTCACATTCTGTTCCATGCTTCCATGCCTCTGGATCCGTTTTGTTCATCAGTTTACTTTGTTAATAAGAAAGATCATGTGATACTTGTCGTTCTCTGACTGACTTATTTCACTTAGCATGATACTCTCCAGGTCCCTCCATGTTGTCTCAAAGGGAAAGAGTTTTGTTTTTTTAATGCTGCATAGTATTCCATGGTATAAATTTACCACAGCTTTTTTATCCACTCATCTACTGATGGGCATTTGGTCTGTTTCCAGATCTTAGCTATATTGTAAATTGTGCTGCCATGAACATAGGGGCATTCTTTCTGATTGGTGTTTTGGATTTCTTTGATGCACCAATTTTAAAATTTTATTAAAATTATTATTTTTAGAATGATTTTTTATACATGTGTAATTTATGATAGTATTTTATACATACTAAGGTAGAAAAGTATTGTTTTGTGTATTGAGTAGATATCCAATTAGTAGTTATTGGATAAACAAACTGCCATCCTATCATATTTACATCCATGGATATTTAATTTTGGATTTTAATGCAATGTTTGGGTGATTTCCTAATATCTCAGTATTACCAAAAAAGTATTATCTGCCCTTTCACTTTGGCTCCTTACCAAACTTACCCATTCCTTATCCTTTGATCTCATCACTTTTCCCACACAAGCGGTACATTAAACCTCTTCCCAGTCTTTTGTTTTCGTTAGGTTATTCTGTTCTTTCTCCTTAGTCTGAAGCCAACCGCAGCAGCCTTCTGTGTAGCTGTGCAGAGCTTACTGGGAATGTTCAACAAAAAAAAACCTATTTGCATAATTATCAACAGTTATCTTGGCCATTCAGCAAAGATAGATTTAACTTTAAATATTGATAAGGGCATTCTAATTTACTTATTGTACATTCTAAAGCTTTGATAATCCTAAAAAATCCATCTCCCACAAATGGGATTTATAATTTAATTTGGACAGGTAACTAGCATATATTTAATCCCTTGATATACTATTTAATAAAAGAGTAATATACAAATTGACCATCACTCCAACACACAAGATAGCTGCCACAAAATGGCCAGCAGGGGAGGGCAGTTGGGGGAGATCAGGCCTACAGGGAAGGGCAGTTAGGGGCAACCATTCCAGCATGGGAGAGCAGTTAGGGACAATCAGGAAGGAAGGGAAATTAGGGGCGATCAGGCTGGCAAGGAAGGGAAGTTAGGGGTGACTGGGTCAGCAGGGGAAGGCAGTTGGGGGTGACAAGGCCTGCAGGGGAGGATAGTGAGAGGCAACCAAGCTTGTAGGAGAGAGCAGTTGGGGGCAACCAGGATGGCAGGGGAGGGAAGTTAAGGGCAACCCAGCTGGCAAGGGAGGATAGTTGGGGTGACCAGGCTAGCAGGGGAGGACAATTGCAGGTGACTAGACTGCAGGGGAGAGCAGTTAGGGCAATCGGGCCAGCAGGCGAGCAGTTGGACATTGATCAGGCTGGCAGGGGAGTGGTTAGTGGGTGATCAGGCTGGCAGGCAGAAGTGGTTAGGGGCAATCAGGCGAGCAGTTGGGAGCCAGCAGTCCTAAATTGTGAGAAGGATGTCCCAGATTGGAGAAGGTGCAGGCTGTGCTGAGGGACACCCCGCCCCCATGCATAAATTTCATGCACTAGGCTTCTAGTGTTTAAATAAAAATGAAACAAAATAGATGGTTATTGCTGGTGATTTTCTTTTCAGAAATACAAGATTTGAACTTAGAAAGAGTATACATTTAGAATTAGTTAAAATTACATTTTAGTCCTAAATTTGGAATTCATGAACTTTTATTTCTCTGATCTTGAATTTCCTGGTTTGTGAAAGAATAAATATAATGTCTAGCTTAAATAAACCATGATTTGTATGAAACATCCAGCACACTGCTACTACAAAGTATTCACTCAATAAATTGCCTTTCTTTCCAAAGTATAAAAATCTACATTTTCTTCTTTCTCACTGTCTCATTTCTATGTGAGTTGGTTTCCTCTCTCCTACTCTACCTCAAAATGAAGAGTTGAAGAAATGGATAGAGACATTGTTGTCAAATGCACTCCCTTTTCTTGGTTACCAAGATGTTGATTACAAAATTGAATTAGTGATGACTTTCTATTATTACTACTCTATAATTTCTAAAGATCCAGTTGAACTATTATCATAGTTAAGCAGAGCTAGCTAAATTGTAAGCATTTCTGCAATGAGGAAGACAATAATATTTACCCCCTAAACAAGCAAAAATGGAAAACTATTGACCATAAAAAAGAATTTCAGAGTGTGGGGGGTGGGAAAGAAAGATAATATATATTACTATATTTCTTGAGAACTGTATTGGAAAAAAGACAAGAACCTGAAAGCAAAGTATTAGACCTTGTCATGTAGAGTTAGTCCAAGAGTGTTTCCATTTTAAAAGTTACTCCTTTCATATCCAGAAAATGGATGGGAAAATTACCCTTTGTGCTCCTCTCCCATCAAAGATGTGGAAATCAATCTTGCTTTAAAAAAAAATTACAATAAAACTTACACATTCCCAACTTTTCTAGCTGACTGCATCTTGTAAATGTTGAAAACACAAATGTGAGGTGTCAGCAGAGTATAAATAACTGAGGAAAAGCATAGTGCCAATACGCATAAAGAGAAATTCTGCTCAGACGTGCTGGAGGCTTGGGCAAAAGCTAGCAGCATCTAACTAACTTCAGTGATTTCAGCCATTCACATTTTCCCCTTCTTATATAAACCATTCATGTTTTGTTTTTCCATTTTAAAGGGAATCATGTGGAGATATACTCATTATTCCTAAGCCTACTTAATAGCAAAATGATACCTGGCTTATGTGAATAGGATCTTCAATTTACTTTTTTTGTTCTAAACTCTTGTTAGGTAGAGAGGCAACTCTGAACTTCTCAAAAAACTCCCAAAGGACTTTTTAAATTAAAATAAGGTAAACAGTAATAGGTGCCCTCAGTTCCAGACTCATTATTGTATCATTTTCTTTGCAGTATTATAAGGAATGAAAAAGGTGGCATTAAGATCTCAAAAGAAAATGTCCACCTTTTAGAAATCTGAGTTGGAAGGAAGAGAAGTTCTTAAAAAGGAAAATAAGATTTCAAATATAAGTTTCACATCACAAATGTGAAATGCTTTGAGTAGTGATGAATTCTTAAATGTTAGAATACAACAGAAAGGGTGTCTACCTATGGCGATGAGCAGGGAAGCAGAGTAAACCAGCAAAAACACACTGTGTGCCATGATGAGGACAATGAGGTGACGGACATTACTGAAGACCGTGTATCCCAAGTAACAAAATCTCCCATTGGAACTGGGTAAAAGTTATGTGACCTCACACAGCAGGGTTGTAGTGTCAGGACTGTTTGATGTTGCATCTCAGTGATTTCATCAGGACCCATTTTCTTATCTACTCTTCCACCTGCCATCCTTTATTCTAGTTTCATCATGAGGGAGCTAACCATCGCACCTATAGAACGCAATGGAAAAGGAATAATATAATCATTTCTTTCTGGTTTTCTTAAAAGTAACAGACATTTTTCCATGAGTATCTTCTCCTACCATCCTTTCCCAACCCAACTCCTTCACTCCCCTCCAGCCAACTGCCCCCAAGTTCTTACTGGCCAGATATGGGTCATATGCCATCTCCTAAACTAGTCTCTGGCAAGGAGAATGGGATTTCCATGACTGAATTAGGTTAATCAGTGTCTACACTAAAGCTGGGAGATCACCTTCCTCTGTGTTACCTGGAGGAGGGGGGAGGGAAGTAGATACAATGCAAAATAGAGTTTTTATTTTCTTAGATGTTATAATATATAATAGTGGAAATTAAGAGAATTCACTATTATCTATTGCAAGATCCAAGGGCATTAAACTGAGAAGATGAATGCAGACTCCCCAGGCATGAGGACCATACGCTTCTTATAAGGGTAAATGAATTTTATATCCAATATTTAGAAAAGAAAAAGAATATATAGAATTCCTGATGCTGCTGAACATTGAGTTAAAGTTGACAAAACACCATAGGGTTACAATCTTCATCATAAACTCTCAGATTGGGCAACTAAGTGAAGTTTTGCAGAATGCGATAAACTCCACAACTTTACACAAACAAAAGAGAATCCAGGTCAATGCAATTTCAAAACCCTTCATTGATAACTGTTGTTGAACTCTGCTTGGGATAGTAACAAATACATTCATGTATGATTCTATGACAGAGTGTAATGTCTGTGTTGCTTTTCCCATTCGTGCTCCCGGGTCAGGTTTCTGTGATCAGTGGAACCTATCTTGGCTTGGATTACATGAGTAAGCAAAACGGAGGTGAAGGCGGCATCATTATCAACATGGCTTCTTTGGCAGGTAAGGACACCTGTTTTGCTAATAATAATTTCTGATTGGTGATTTGGACCACAGAAGCAAATCTTCAAAGTATACTTATGATCATCTCAGGTTGGAAAATGAAAGGTTGTTCAATTTTTCTTTGTTTTATCAATGGCTCTATGGAATTTTCTATTGCATAGCAAATGTCTGAACTATATGTTTACTTCTATTATTTTAAATCGTGACTTCTTAAGTTATCTTACTGAAGTACTCTATAAACACACACACGTGTATTTTCCCAGAGTTACTGTTTGTCAAAGGTTATTGTGAGATTCAGTAATACATGTGAAAGCACCTCTGACAAAGTGAAAAGTACAAAAAGAAGTTAAGGTATCTCTATGTGATTTTGATCTCATTCATCTAGGGGAAATGGTGAACAACATAGATTAATGAACAAAAGCAAACCCAGAGATAAGGAGCATGGGTCAGACTGTTGGACCTCAAAGGGAGGGTGGGGATAAAAGGGAGAGATCAACCAAAGGACAAAGATCAACTCATATGTGCATACATATGAGCCTAACCAGTGGTCAAGGACAATAGGGGAATAGGAGCATGAGTGAAGGTGGGGATAGGGGGTTAGAATAGGGGGCTGAGGACAAATATGTGATACCTTAATCAATAAAGAAATTAAAAAAATAAAATAAAGTGCATTATTTGTAGAAAACATAACAAACAAACAAATAAACAAAAAAAACATGGAATTTTAAAATATAGCAGAAGTAGTGGTTGGGATATGCTGTTAGGAGGCCAAACTTTACCTTTACTTTCTTAGGGTCTCTAGCTAGGCATGAAAATTAAGCTGACATGAAATAGATTCACTGGAGAAAAACATACAGACTTTTACAGGTACATGGGAACCTCCAATGGAAAATGAAGAGCCAAAGAAGTGGCTAGTCCTAAGCATTTATAAACGAGGTTAAACAAAGGATATCAATTGTGGACAAGTAATTAAAATATACAGGAAGGCTAGAGGAAGATAACAGTTATTTTATTTTAACAAGGTCTGCTTGTACAGATTTCTCTTGGCCTTGATTCCTGGTCTCTGGTGATAAACATGTTTCTTTCTTTTTCTGTTTAGACAGGGCATTTTTACATTAGATTTTTAACTCCTGTTTTCTGGAAGAGAGGGGATGCCCAAATGCCTTTCGTGCACCTGTTGTTTTTCAAGTCTTTTAACCTTAAAATAATCTTATGCCAAAGTGGCATAGTTAGGGGTGGCCTAGCCTGCCACCCTTCAATGCTAATGTGCTCTCATAAATAGACTGAAGCACATAATGCCTAAATATAGGACACTCAGTTCAGGGTGAAGTTCTTGTTGCAGGGAACCTCTGCTGTAGGCAGTCATTTGGAAAACAAGGCTGGCAGATGCTCTGTCTTCACTATGGAGCCTTAAAGCTTACGGTGGCATTGGTGGCCTCCTCTCCAATAGAAAGAGAACAGCGAGGAGGCGTAGGTGCTCTTTTGAACCCCTCTTCCTCATCATCCCTCTCACCCCCCACCACCCAGTGATGGCAAACTTCACTCTTGCTCACATTCCAGTCTGGATTTGCTCTCATAGCTCATCTAACTCCAGGAGAGTCTGGGAAACACAGTCTAGCTGTGTGCCAGTAGACAGTTCATGGTCTCTACCACCACGTGCAATCCAAACTGCTGCACTCAGGGCAGTAGGATCTACTATTAGATGGTATCATGTTACTAAAAGTAGCTATCAGCTGTCAGCCAGAACTTTTGGAGCTACTTAGCCAAATCCCTTACTTTTAAAATTCTAGAAAATTAACTATTTCAAGGGATATTATGAAATTTTAGAAGTCTGATCAATAGTGACAGCAAGTCTAATCTATTCATGTCCACAAATAGTGAGACTTCCTTAAATTATCTGGTTGGTTTCCGTTGGTGTGGTCATTTCACAGTAGGTGCCCTCCGACCTTGTCCCCACCTCCCAGCTCCCATAATATCTGGGTAGTCAGGATTGGAGGTACCTATGACCACACCTGTGTCTGATGGTCCTTAATCCACCAAAACCTGCCACCAGTGGAGATTTAGGAATCTTCTTTAAAAGTTCTAAAAAAAAAAAAAAAAAAAAAAACGCCAAAAAACAAAACAACAACAAAAAACACCCATTGTTTAAAGACAAACATGGCATCCTTAAAGCTATTATAGACCTAATTCTATAATATAATTTGTTCAGGATAATCTGGCTGTAATTTCTAATATGACATCTACTAATTTCAATTCTAAGGCTAGATAAAGAGGTAAGAGCATGGGCCATATGTAAAATATTTGACCTCAAAAAGGAGCAAATTTCAGTTTCTGGGAGGCTAAAACCTTAAAGGTAAATTGTCAAGGCTAAATCTACATGATTTAAAAATAAAGCCATAAGAAAGAAATATATAAATGATAGGAAAATTAACAAAAATAATTAATTTTTATTAAAAATGTAAATGTGAATAAATCTGGGCAATGGTCAAGAGACAATGGCATGGACTCTCTCTCCAGCTGGGAGGATTAGCAAAGCTTGAATCAGGAGCACCATCCAAGAAGCCCCTTGCCCTGTGTCGCTGGGGGCACTGATTTCTTCTTAGGAAGGCTGGGAGCCTCAGGTTGGATCAATTTAGGACTCTCTGAAAGACATTCTGTACAATAAGAGGAAGTTTCCTTCCTTAAAGACCATAAATAGAGAAATGCAATGTATACTGCTTTTTATCCAATAAGAACATTCATTGAGCACTCACTGTTTCCATGATACTAGTTTAAATATTGTGCATGCAATTATCTCATTAATATTCACAACAACCCCATGAAGTAGATTTCATAATCTTTATTTGGTGGATAAGGAAACCTCAATAGGAGAGTTTAAGTTTCTTAAAATAGAGTTTAACGTCAAGGAAGCAGTAGAGCTGGAATTCATGTGTAAGCAGCCTGATAAAAGATCTCATGACTTATCTGAATTATCTAATTCTTCTATCTGTGGTGTTTCTGTTTATCTCTCTAATCATGTCCATCTTAGCCCATGAAATAAAAAAAACTTTTAAAAATAATTCTTACAACATGATTAAGCCAGTGTAATTTGCTAGTATCTTCAGGCCTCTTGGGCACTGCTTTAATATATTTTTAATGCATTATTGATATATTGGTGAGATATATTTATTAACAAGAAAATAGCATAGCTTTCTTTTTTTTGGATAAATAATTTTGATATATTCATATAATGAATATTCATCAGCAATAAAATGGAATAAAGTACTAATAAGAAGCAGCAACATGAACACTGGACCCAAGAATATACGAGTACAGACAGTGAGTCTGTTCATATGAAATTCTAAAGGCAATGCGAATCAATGGTAACAGAAATCACATAAGTGGTTTCTGGAACAAGGCAGGTGTTGGGGTGCGGGGATTGCCTGCGAAGGGGTACAGAAGTCTGGGGAGATAGAAACACACTTTATATTGATTGGGACAGTAGTTACATAGGTGTGCACATGCATTTGTCAAAAACATTTAACTAATATGCTTAAAATATTATATGTAAATGTTATTTCAAGAAAGTTGACTTAATAAAAAAAGACAATTGGCTTAGAAGAGGTTATGCATTTAGAAAAAACAAAAATTCCTCCATCTCTGTTTCCCAGTCCCCCAAAATGTTTTATTTTACAGTATCTTCCTTAAGGTCTATGGATCTTTCTTGTGGAGCAAATATTTCAGATTAAAAATAAAAAAATTATTAATATATAATGAGTTAATATGACTGGTGGTAAACCTCTCTATTTCAAATTAAATGGGCAAAAACATAAACCTACAATTCAGAGAACAGATAGAACAGAATGGCTAATAAACAGAATAAATGGTCAGTCTCATGAGTAATCATGATGATGCCAATGAAAACAAAAATAAAACTTAATGTGTTACCTATCAGATCAAATCGTCCTGACTGGCCAGAATGTGGTGAACAAGGATTGTCAAATACTGCTAGTGTATGTGAGCCACTGCTTTCATCTTACAATTACGTTAATAAACCTTCAGTGGAATCTTGAATTCTCCCTCCCTCTCCCCCCCCCATTTTACACACAGAGTAAAGCCCTGAAAATATTTGGGGTGCTTACCAAAGTCTCAAGTCAAAACATGCCATTGAGAAGAGCAATTTGGGGATTACAATTCAAGTTCCATTTGGCTTTCTTGGCTAACAGCTTGGTTTATCATATTACCCATCTCTGGGTGTTAATTCTCTTCTTACCTATCTAAGAGCCAATATTTGAAACCATAATAAACAGTTTATCTTTTTTCTCTTCTGCTTGACTCAGTACCTTCCACCAGTATGAAGGGAGATACCCTCCCTTCTTGATGCTTGGCCTCCACACCTGGTGCATTTACACTGTTTCCTGTTGCCAGGACCAACCTGGACAGCCTCTGCTACCTCTCTGCTCACCCAGGGCTTTGTCCCTAAGGGGCATCTCAGAGAGAATATTAAAATGTATTATCTTGTATTTTGTCTGCTCACCAAGAGCTTCTATTCTTTCCATAATGAGATTAGCTTGACAAAAAATTCAGAATGTTATAATAGTAGAAGATAAATGTGTGGACCTCTCTGGCTGCACACTTTCCTCAGAAATGTTACCAACAATTTTATACCCTTGAAGTCATAGCACGTTGGGAGAGGTTAGCCAACCAAAAAAGTCTGTGAGAAGTTCCGGAGTCAAATTACTTTTTCACCCAGCTTTATGGGGGTATATTTGACAAAATTGTAGAAAAGGTATTTCCAATGTTTGCTTCCTTTTGTTTTCCGAACTTTTCCTTTCTCACAGACTTGTCCTGTGCCCATCCTTATGCCCTTCCTCCCCACCCCCACTCCCACTCCCCGCTCACTCAATTAAAGGCATAGCTGTGGGTTACATTCAACACAACCAGTCTATCATTATGATCTCTTGCATAGATTCAGTGAAGTCCTTCACTGTCATAGTAAAAACCTTGACACACTGGTTTGG